CGACTTGACGCGACGTTTTGACGGGTATGCATGCGCAAACTCGCATCCGAGTCAAAACCGACGCGATTCACAATCAACTCTGGACTCTGGATCACGGAGGAGCTGGAGCTCAAAGAACTCGGCAAGAAAATGCATAGAATGGATTACTGCACGTATCCAGTTGTGCGCACGCTCCTCACCTCTTGCCCGAAGCGAGAAAGAGAAAGAGGAGGGGCGGGGGTTGTCGTATAGGACGTAACGAGTAGCGAATACGGAACGAAAGAGAAGAAAACACTTCACGCACTACTGCCACATTCCTACTTCTGGAGGGCGAGGGCGGGGCCGGCGTCGGCGAGCCGGCACTCAATGGCGAGGCACGACTCAGATTTGCCTGGAAGTTGGCGTCCGTGCAGACACAGGTGAGGTTCGTACTGTGCGACGAAAGAGTTATTAGTTTCCACTCGCGATCGTGATGAAGACAGAGGAAGAGGAAGAAGGGACTCACGCGATGAGGCAAGACGAGTTGGCAGCGGCAGCGGAGATGCAGGCGAGGGCGCCGTTGCTGAGGCCGCCGGGGTCGACGCTGCCGCTGGTGCCGGTGGCGGAGAAGGACGGGACCGAGGCGGAGGAGACGTCTGACGCGCTCGACGTGTAGCAGGGGTTGTGCGAGAGCCGCTGCTTGTAAAGCGAGATGAACACGTACGAGGTCTGCATCTAGAGGTGCGTCTAGCGTCGAGCGCTTTGCGTGCGGTTGGGTTCAGGGGCAGGCATCAGCACCGCAGGCAGCACATGGGCGATTCAGTGCTAGGATGAATGGAAGAGTACGCACTTCTGGCACTGAATATGGGCCTCGCGGTAGTTCGCCCATATGGCGGTCCGGATGCACATTTATTCCCGCCCCGCAAACATTTGACCCCGCCCCGCAAACTTACCTTTTTTGGTCACCCCGCGCGCGATTTTGCCAGTTTGATCCCGTCAACAAGTTTTGCGCGGACGGCATGTTCCGCCCCGCGCGATTTTGGCCCCGCGCGCGCGAAAATCCAAACTTCCGCGCGCGCGCAAATTTTCTTCGATGCCCCGCAGAAAAATTCACTTGATGAGCAAAGGTTTGAGATTCAATTTAGGATAAGTAATTATGGAAAGGTATGAATGGGATTTGTACTACAAATCCGTCACACTCTCTTATTAAGATCGTCCTAGTAGAATCAGAGTGCTTAGGATGCCCCTATTGCTGTCTTTACAGGTATGACGGGGACCGTCAACGGCAGGCTGTTCTGCCTCGTCTAGGGTTCGCTTGGATAAATCAACGGGATGGGTACGGGATGGCAGAATTGCCACTGTCCATCCCGTTGACTCCGGTCAACGTATTCGTGTTCTTTCGTGCGGATTGAGCCAAAAATGAGATAGAATGCAAAAATAAGTTCACACCTTTACCTTAAAAATACATAGGACTAACTATGGTCCCCGAGAACGGTCCACTGAATTTTTTGAGCGGGGTAGAACGACCACGTGATATCATCTGATTTGGCGCGTCACCTATAAATTGACTTCCTTTCGCGCGAATTATCAAATGAAAGCTGATTGAGAGGGTGTACCAGACTGAGTAGACTTGACCCTTAGAATCCCAAAGTCGACCCCCTGGATCCCTTGTATCCCCCATTATTAAACGGCTGTCGGCTATCTTTTTTTGCCGTCCCGTACCGTCTCGGGGGGGGAGACGGCGGCCAAAGTCACGGCTCGAACCCATCGTGACATCGCAAGTAGACGACCATGCCCATTGATAGGGCTGTGGCCATACCTATATGAGAGGAAGGTGAGGTCTACTGAGAGGCAGATGATTATTGACGGAGTGGATTGCGTAGTTATTAAGAAAAGCACCAATGAATGACGAGTGGGTCTTAAATGGGTCCAGGATTCGATTTGCAACGAGGGAGTGAGTGAAAAAGTAGGAGGCCAAGGGCGACAAAGGAGTGGATGAATGACAATGACAGGATTGATAAATAACTTAGTTGAATGGTCACGTAGTTCGCGTCGCGCGATGCCAAATGTTAGAAGTTGCCTTCGGGATCTGCATCAGCGTTCCCGTTCAGCCCTTGATTATTCACGCTACCGTCACACCCATACACTCTATCCTCCTTTACTACGTGTATATCCCCCTTCTTCATTCGGTACCTTCCTCTGATACCAGTCACTCTCCCTACCGATCCCATTCATACCTTACTTATCCCGAATATGTTCTCAGACCTTTGCTCATCATGAGTTTTTCTGCGGGGGGACACGGAAGAAAATTTGCGCGCGCGCGGAAGTTCGGATTTTCGCGCGCGCGCGGGGCCAAAATCGCGCGGGGCGGAACATGCCGTCCGCGCAAAACATGTTACGGGGATCAAACTTCCAAATTCGCGCGCGGGGACACCAAATAAGGCAAATTTGCGGGGCGGGGTCAAAAGTTTGCGGGGCGGGAATAAATGTGCATCCGGACCACCATACGCCCATACGTCGCGTGCGAGCAGCGTCTTGAGCCCGGAGTGGATGCTGCACGCCTGATTGATATTCCACAGTCAGCATCGCATGTGTATCCGAGGACCGAGTCTTCTGCCACAATGCACATCTGGTAACAAGCAGCCGTAGATGACCCCAGCGCCAGAGCTCGGGATGGACGCAAGGGAGGATCGGGACGTACCGGGAAACGGCGGAGGCGGCAGGCTAATCAGACATGTTGAAACTGTTGCTGAGGGACAGCAGCAGGCTAGTCAAACGCGTTACGCGCCGATGATCATGGAGGAGTGAGGAGGGGCTCTGGTGCTATGTCCTGGCAAATATTTGAATAGGTTTTCTATTCAAAAATTCGAGGCCAGTCACGCCAGAGGGACAAGGTGACCTCTTTTCCAATGAGTAGTATATGGCTCAATGGTTGTGTTGCTTGTTTGTTGGCCTCTTTTTTGAATCATACATGACGTGTTCTAGTTGTGTGTTCGAGCCCCAGATGTGTTCTCTTTTTGCGCTTCTGCAACTTGTTGTATCTTCTTACTCGGTTGTTATACATTGTGGAAAGGAGTGCTCTACACAGGTACAGTACATAAAGATTGCTACGACAACTCTCAGACAGCCATGCTCCCGCTCAACACGAACCGCCGCACGGTCTATCTCCATGCTACGCTGGTGGCATGCCCAAAAAGACTTCAATAGCGCATCATCCGCCCCTTGAGCGCCCGGGTGGTGACGCCCAGTCAGTTCTCATTCTGCTGCGCGTCAATAGCGATGAGCTCAATCTGCGCGCGCGGGGCTCGTATAAAAAAAACACTGCAAACCTTTCGCCGCCAATGACGTACACCTCCGCCGCCACGATCCCCAGGCCCACGAGCGCGACGGCGATCAGCGCACCGTGGATCTTCGCGTAGACCTTGAGCAAGTGGGTGCGTGCAGCGGCATCGAAGGAGCGCGCGGAGAGATAGAGGTCGCCGATCAGGGCGGCGCGGTCGAAGGGGACAAGGGGCTGTGCATCGGCGGGGAGGAGCACGGCCTCGATGCACGTGAGGGTCGTGGAGGCAGCAAGGAGGACAAAGAGCGCGAGAAGGGCGGCGGTGAGGGGGACGGGGAGGATGCGCAGGGCCGTGAGGCTGAGGGCGAGTGACGGGGTCGAAGTCGCCGCCCTGCGCGGCGCTCAAGGCGTGCTCCGACATGGTGGGCAGGCCGAGGAGGTGCGCGACGGCGAGCGGGGCGAGGAAGGTCGCTCGCTGTGCGGCAGTGTAGACGAGGGTCGGAAGGATGAGGGGCTTGCATTGCGCGCGAGGGACGATACGCTGGAGGACGGATTTGGTGGTGGGGTGTGCAATCATGGTATAGGTCCGGAGCATATGCACGCGGATGAGCAGGAGGGGGGCGCACCCCCTCCCCGCACACATAGCACAGTTCTCAACTCGTCCCATGGCCCCAAATCACAGCGACCTGGCTGCGTGAGGTGTGCCTAGGAGCCACGCCTCGGAACCGCTGCTGCTCGGACTGCTTCATCAGTGGAACACGTCAGCTGAATGCAAACTATGCGATGAACGCACTCAAGGATGCGGCCGCGGCCAGCACACCTGATGTTGGATGCTGCATATGTTCTGTGTACACCGTGTAGACGGTGTAGTACACCAAGCGCCACGGAGACGCAGCAGACAGGGCGTAGGCTTCGGTGTCCTGGCAAATCTACTCGAAGTGCGAAATTTTCAGTGTTCGTACTCACTGTCAATGGAGACAAGGTCCCAAGGTTCCGTGTTCTTCAGAAAGGGTCTTGTCGTGTTCCATCTAAAGCTCAGCACCGCGTCTTCAAAACAGCTTCAAGGTGTTGAAATAAAGGCGAAAAATGCCGCCAAAAGGCATCCACAAGGACATCATAGGCAGAAGGTGAGTGAATTCGAAATTTTATATGGTCAAAAGGCGTCAGGTTGGACAACAGAAGGCAGTGAGCAGGAGGCGGCGGAAGGTGGAGCCATGGCGTGAGCATGCCCAAATGGGGTTCGAAGTCATGCCCAAAAAAGGCAAGCTAAGGCTGCCAGGGCACTGCACCAGAACCTGAGGAGGCGGCGGAGGCGGGAAGGGCAAACACCCGTAAATATGATGACGAGGTGTGATCACGCCACTCTTGTCAACCGCAACAAAACCGCAACGAGGACTGGACCTTGCCCGATGGCGCTCACATCGATACCTTTGGGCTTGCGATATTTTCGCTGTCCAATTTCTCTTGGAAATCTCCTCGAAATTGGAATCAATCACTGACTTTGAACTTTCATTCGGACGCCTGAGGCTCCGAGTCGACTCTTTTTCGGTTTGCCTGGCAAGTGAATAACGAACCGGCCGCTGGCATGTACTTCACAGCTCAGCTCCGTTTTCGCATCCCTTCATTTACTCGCCACTTCCTCGCCACTTCCTCGTCATACAGTCTCATTTCGGACTCATGGCTGTCACGATTTCGGATAGCGTCGCTGAATCTACGGGCAGTACATATTGCGTACATACCACTCGAAGATCTGAAGTGTCAAGGTCCGGTGGCGGAAGGTCCGCACCCGCAATCTTTCATTTAGTGGTGATATCTTGATAATGCGGCGGGAGACGCTCGTTCGACTCGAGCCTGGGCCTTGCATCGAGAACTTGAGTATGGAATTTTTTCCCCCCATTTTCCACTCTCTCTCTATACTCCAGATTCGCATTCATACTATTCAACCAATAGCCTCAAAGTCACCATGATCGGGCTAAACGACACATTCTCATCTTGCCATTCTTCCCGGGGCCTCCATCCTGAATTCTCGGCTCTGCCTATGCTCACAGAATGGATATCAAAGCCTGATGGCGGGGGGTCCGCAACCGCAAAGCTCGCGTTGAACTGCGTCATGTTGACGAGGGGAATGCTCGTTCGATTCGAACCCGGGCCATCATTATAGTGACCGCCGCTTCATCTTTATTTTTCCCCGGTACTCTTCCATTTACTTCATTAGCTCACTCCAACGTCGGCGGTTGCGTCGCCCACCAGATTCACTGTTGCATGTCCTAAATGAAGCTCGGTAAGTACCTCTCCTCCGCTCCTCAAAATCCGGACTGTTCTCAGTAACCACACTCACAACATTGTTATCAAGGTTCGGTGACGGGTGGTCCGCACCCGCAAAGCTGCCCGTTTAACTGCATCATGTTGACGCGGAAATACTCGTTCGACTCGAGCCCGGGCCTTACATGGAGTGCAGACTTTTATTTTTTATTTTATAGTGCTCTCTCTCGAGTCTCAATACTGTCGGTTCATCCAAGTTCCTATTTATAATATTCAACCAACAGCCTCAAAGTCGCCACAGTTGTGCTAAACGAGACTTTCTCGGCCTTCTATTTTTCCGGGGCCTCCATCACTGCATCCCCGGCTCTGCCCATGCTCACAAAATGGATCGACCTCGTGGCTCGGTGGCGGGCGCTCCGCACCCGAAAAGCTTCGCGTTTCAATTATCCCGTCATGTCGACGCGGAAATGCTCGTTCGATTCGAGCTCGAGCTGTAACAGTGTTATGCGTCAATTTGTTTTTCGCACTACTGTTGAAGATTTCCTTCGCTGATATATTTATATTTAGTCACTTCGAATGTCACTGCTGAACCTCAATATTTTAACACCCAACCACCCATGTTCGAGGCCACCACAGCAGTAAGTGCATATTTTCTCATCCTGCCGAAATTCCGGGTGTCAAGATTGCCGTGGTTTTCCGAACCAAGCCCCTTCTTCCTTTCTTCCAGTATTCATTCCCCGAAACCCTTACTCTACGTACCCATGCTCGTGCATGATGCACCGCATAAAAAAAGAAATCGTAGAGGGATAGACAGGGAGGGAATATTTATGCGTTGGGTATGTAAATGTTCACATTCAATGTGGCTACGGTATTCTTCAAAGTCTGGAGACAAAATGATGGAATTTTAAGAAGCCGGAGTGGAGTGTCTTTTGAAGGGAGAGCTAGAGAAAGATTAATTCAGAGCTTATGGGGGGAATAGGATTTTTGAGAGGGGGTCTGGGTCACGGTGGCGATTCGAATCGACCCAAGTAGGCTGCCTCCGGGGTGAAGGAGAAGGGGCGGGAATACATTAATTTTTTAGTGTTCAAGTTGGGGCGGCCGTTCACGGAGACGAAAATATATACAAAAAAACCAACCCTGCAAAGAGCAATCAAAACGGAACAGTGAGATCTGCTCGGATTGGGGGATGGAAATGTACGGGAGATATGTTCAAGTCCACCATAACAAAAATATAGGTCAATCGGAGCAAAATAGGTCCCATGGGACATGTTCTCCGCTCAACCACTGAAAAACACGGGAATCTATCCCAAAAAGGAGATTTTCGGTGCCCATAAAAAAACCTAGGAGACGAAGCCTTCTGCCCTTTCCGTGCGAATCGAATGAGCCTATTTCCAGGGCAAACGGTTAAGAAATGATCCCGCAATCGCTGTTCTCGTGAAAACTTACAAAAAGAAAAAAAACACGCCGCGCCCTAAGTTCTGCAAACGGCTGTAAGCCTGTCTGTTTGAAGCTTTTTCCGTCGTCGACCTGATCTTAGGATCCCGAACCCTGACACCCGCCTTCGAATGGATGATGGCATCATGCTTGCAATGTCTCGGGCATCGTGCAGTGCCCGGCGGTGTCTGCCACCCATCCAATAGATACATGGTCTACATGGCGCAAAAATTAGCCAAAATCTGCAGGTGTTAGATTACAACTCACATCTGTATAGGTGACCTTGAGTGTCAACTTGAAAAAGGCTTGCATCCTCGATTTGGATGCGACTTCTGCAAACAACTTACAACTTGACATCTCAGCAGAATTCGGAGTGATCGCCGAGCCTTTCGCATCAAGTCAAGATCCGCGGGCCGGGATCAAATCCAACTCTGTCTGCCCCCTCGCAATTCTGCCTTACTGGCGGTTCCTCGGATTGGTATTTTAAGATCAGAATAATTGAAAGGAAGGCTTGAACCAAATTAGAACTTGGATATGACGAAAACAAACCAGGATAGTGGAATTTGAATTCACGGACCAAAGGTTTTGCCCGATTTTTCATGAAGTCTATTCAAGCTCAATTAGTTTGCATGATACCTGGAAGTTCGATGTATTCACCTTTCCCATGTTTCCTGCTCTCTGAGACCCTAAAACCGCAAAATATCCTTCTTCAGATCCCGGCAGACTGTTCGGATCATCGTTCCAATCAATACCACAAGTGACGCTTCCCGCGGGATGACTGCGAGTCAACAGAAATGCAAAAACACTAAGGAGCTGACTGGAGCTGGGTGCGGTTTAAACCTCTATGAAGGATGCAACTCACACCGGATAAAGGTAAATATTACAGCCCTTTGCGGAACATAGGGCGCGGCCAAAAAATTTCCCATTTTGGGACATTTTTGTTTTTGTCGACCATTTCCCTCGCCGCGCGCTCAATTATGAATGTATCGTTCTGAAAACCATATGAGCGGAACCGCAAGGCAATTCTTGAGGTCCTCTCTTGCTCCAAATTTTTTTATTCGGCTTATATAAAATGTACTCTGATATAATCATGTTTATATGGAAATCTGCTCCCACAGGGGGAGTTGGCGATACATTATTTTGGGGTCTGATTAGGGAATATCTACGACTATTTCTGAGGTCACCTCGTTCTCATATTTTATCTGTGGGTCCTATACCACGTGAACGATGTAGTTGAATCCAAGGGAAACACCCACTTCTCAGACACAATGATCTCACATATTCTGGTCCCAGGTGAGCGTGATACTCATTGGGTGCTAGTCCTGTGGTGTTTAAAATAGACTCCACAACTCACATTTGTCATCCGAGTCCCCGTCCCAGCATGCAACACGATTCAATATGCACGTATATTGTCACAAGTCAAATGCTAACTGATGTGTCAATCGGGCTAAGTTTGATCATTTCCCGCGGGTACACGTGGTAACAGCCTGCCAATGCCACTGGCTTGCCACGTCACTGCGTCTTAACTCTCATCCTCCCTGCATGGTGTCCTTCTCCAGTGGACACCACATAACAATCCAAGGTACTGATTGAGTCCAAACCATATCAATTGTCAATTGTGTCTAAGTCCTCTGCAGGAGGCACCGGAGGGCCTGGTGGGAAAGGGGGTGTCCTCGGGGGGGATGGGGGCAATGCAGAGGGTCCTCGTTTCAGCAATGTGGCAGTCTATGGCAGTAAGTTGTTGCAATATAGTATTGGAAGCTGCTCTTGATTCATGCCAGATGTGGTGAATAATTTCACCACACCAAATGTAGACCCCCAAGAGCATCAGATCCACTCTGAAGCTAGGAATCGATTGTTGGATCCTGCGGTGGTGAAGGACCACAAGCCTTGTCCGTTGCCAGTGTCTTCGTTCACAGGACGGAAGGACATCCTCCAAAAGATGCACCACTACTACAATGATCAAGGATCTGTGCAGCATATCTTTGTCTTGTATGGCCTTGGCGGTGCAGGAAAGAGTCAGCTTGCTTTCAAGTTTTTGCATGAGTCCCAAGCCAATTGTTGGTATGGATAATTTGCATGTGTTTCACAAATAATTGACAACCAATTTCCAGTTTTTCAGAGATATTCTATATTGATGCAACCAACAAACAGACACTTGAACTTGATCTGCAGAGCATCACCACTGCAGAAGTTGGCAATTCAGCCGAAGTAAGTCTGCGCTGGCTTGCAGGCAAACAAGACAAGTGGCTCCTGTTCTTTGATAATGCTGACGATACCAAGCTGGACTTGTCAAAATACTTTCCTCGTTGCACATCCGGGAATATTTTGATCACAACTCGCAACCGAGAACTATGCATACATGCCAGAAATGAAGAGGCAGTCTCAAGAGTGTCTGATATGGAAGCTGAAGATGCACAAGACTTGCTCTTGCATCTGGCTGACCAGGGCAGAGGTCCTGAGCAACAGAAACAAGCAATGGCTATTGTGAAGGTCTTTTCCTTCATGTTTTCTTTTTAAACCCCAATTCACACTGAATTGTGTAACAGGAACTCCATTGCTATCCTTTGGCTATCTCCCAAGCAGGTGGTTATATCCGTGTCCGCAATAAATTAAGCGGATATCTGAAACTCTATCAAAGCCATCGTGACAAACTGCTGCAACGTGCAGAAATTCAAGGACAGGATTACTATGGTCTAGCAGTATATGCAACATGGAACTTAAGCTACAACAAGCTCAGTGAAGCTGCACAAACCCTGTTGCAGATATGCTCCATTCTGCATCATGAAGGGATCTTAGAACAAATATTTGAAAATGCAGCAATGTCTCAGCAAGGCCTGGATGGGTCAGACCCAATGCTCGATGGATCTGACCTGAGGGAAGTCACCCAGCTTTTGACTGAGGTGGGAATGCGAAATGACAACTGGGATTCTTTTGTCTTCCATGAAGTGATTGGAGAGCTTGAATCATATTCCCTCATGGAACAGGATAGACAAGCTGATTCATATACCATCCATCCACTGGTACAGCACTGGAGTGGCACAACTATGGGAAGAAACAAACATCTGATGCAGAAATGTGTACTCACTATCATTGGATTGTCAATCTCCTGGAGCTACAATGATGAGGACATCAAATATCGCCACAAACTTTTACCACATGC